AGTGGCAGAACAGATTGAAGAACAGTCAACAAGAATAGAAATGATCGAGCAGAAACTTGATCGTCAGACCGTTGAGGTAGATCAAAAGATAGACAAATTGAAGCGAGAATTGGAGCAATCCAAAAAATGGCCATGCCGTTAGATCACGCATCCGGAAGAACTTTGAAGGTACCAGCATTTGACGGAGAGATGTCCTGGAACGTTTATAAAACCCAGTTCGAAGCAAAATTGACTTAGAAAAACGCGTTCTTAGATGGAGAAATACAGAAGTGATAATGGGGGATTAATAATAATAATAACTAAATTGAATATAAAAAGCAAAAGTTGAGGCACGTAGAATAATAAGGCAGGAGAAAAAATTTTGCTGGAATAGATACGTAAACAATATAAAAACTACCACACCAATAGCAAAAATATGGGACATGATTAGGAGAATAAAAGACAAAAATACTGAAAGTCAAATAAGCTATTTACAATACCAAAGAAAAAGTCAGAAAACAGATGAGGAAATAGCCAACACACTAGCAACTCATTTCCGGAATAAATCCTTAATGACCAACCATATCACAACCTTCATAAAACATAAAATGGAAAAAGAAAAAACACCTTTAAATTTTGAATCTAATAACATCGAACAATATAACCAACTATTTACAATACAACAAATTAAAAACGAAATAGAAAGCAGCACCAACTCTTTTCCTGGCGAAGACCAAATTACTTATGAGGTATTAAAAAATATCCCGATCATAGCAACTGAAAACTTGTTAAACATCTTCAATAAAATCTGGACTAACTCAACAATTCCACACTCATGGCACCATGCCATTGTCCTCCCTTTTAATAAGCCAGGCAAACCAAAAGAAAACCCAGATAGTTATCGTCCAATATCCCTAACCAGTTGCGTTAGTAAAATTTTTGAAAAAATAGTTAACAGAAGATTAGTCTCGTACCTTGATAAAAACAACATAATATCAGAAAAACAATGCGGAGGAAGAAAAGGAAGATCCACTCTGGACCACATAGTCTCATTGGAAACTTTCATAAGAAGAGGTCTTGCCAATAATGAGCAATCTATAACGATTTTTTTCGACGTAGAAAAAGCGTATGATACTACGTGGCAATATGGGATAATGGAAAACCTCAATAAAACAGGCCTCAGAGGACGCTTACCCAAATTCATACAAGGATATCCAGGTAAGAGTCAACGATTTGTTATCCAAAGTAAACCACCTAGAGATGGAAGTATACCACAGGGAAGTATTCTATCACCAACTCTATTTTGCCTGAACATCAACACAGTTACTGCGATCATCCCAGAGAACGCGCTAACATGTCTATATATGGACGATCTGACCATAACCATAAAAGATAAACATATTCAAAACATTGAAAAGGAGATAAACACGATTTTAAAAGACATAGATAAGTGGTCGAAAGAAAATAGAATAAATTTTTCAAAAACTAAAACGACCCATATGCTTTATACTAGAAAAAAGAAAAAAATATATCTAAGAATTATTTTCCAGGATACATATATAAACTTCAAACTAGAAGTCAAGTTTCTACGTATAATTTTTGATGAAAGATTAAACTTTATTCCTCACATTGGCTATATAAAAAGTAAATGCATGAAAGCATTAAATTTGATTAAAACCATATCCCATTACAAATGGGGAGGAGATCAAAACACACTCTTAACAATATATAGAACCACAATAAGAGCTATGTTGGATTATGGTTGTCAGGTCTATGGAGCCACAAAAAACTCATATATCAAAACAATAGACCCAATAATCAACGAAGCTCAAAGAAGATGCCTGGGTGTATATCACACATTTCCATCAAACAACTTTCATGTTCTTGCATTAGAAATTCCAAGACATCTGAGACATATAAAGTTGACATTAAATTTATATATGAAATTGCAATCACAAAAGAATAATCAAGCTCACAAAAACACATCCAAAATTTCAAGAGTAAACAAAAAAATCAAAGGCCATACCTATCCTTGCAGAAAGAGTAGAGGAACATATAAAAAAACTAAATAACATAAAAATCATGCAGGAAACATCTTTGGTAAACCCCCCTTGGAACAAAAAAACTCCAGAAATAGACATGTCAATTATGAAATATAGAAAAAGCTCATGCCTAGGTAAAATTGCCTTTTACGAAATAATAGAAAAACATACAAAATATATCACATATATACAAATGGGTCAAGGAAAGAAGGATCAACATCAGCAGCAGCAGCAGTTATTCCTAATCTCAAACAAACCATATTCCAGCATCTTCCACCATACTCATCAATATTTACAGCAGAGTTGATAGCAATTAACATGGTACTGGACCATATTAAAAATGCCCAAGGAAACCATTTTCTGATAATCAGGGACTCCTTATCCAGTCTAGTGGCAATAAATTCGGACAGAAAGAGTAACCCCCTAGTAACAATTATAAAAACCAAAATACACAATATATTAACTAATAAAAATGTAATAAAACTAGTTTGGAGCCCTAGTCATATTGGAATAGTAGGCAATAAAAAGGCTGACCAGGCTGCTAACCTAGCACACTCGCTCCCAGTATCAAACATACCTATACCAATCTCCGATATGAAACCTATCATACATCAATACATTGTATCTTTATGGCAAAAAAATTGGAACCAAGTCAATAACTTTCTAAAAATATCAATACCCAAACTAAACAAGCCAAATCCAATAGTATCATATCTGGAGAGAAAGTATCAAACGTTGTTAAATTGAATTAGAATTGGGCATACAGCATTAACTCATGGATATACACAAAATCTTCACCTCCACGTTGTAATACATGCGGTACAAGAATAACCATTCAGCACGTCATCAAAAATATCAAATAAGTAGGAAAATCTATAATATCCCGACCAACATGCAAGAAATATTTGAAGACCCAATTAATATAGAGAATTTAATAAATTATTTAAAAAAAATAAATCTTATTGATAAAATATAGAAATAAATGAAAACAACTACATTCAAGTATAAACTCAGATAAGAAAAGAAATAGGCGTGAAGATAGCCTTTCTGTGCTGATACGCCGGAAATTAGCAATAGCAATAGCAATAGCATTATTACGGCCCCCGGTCGCCCATCATATTATCGGCCGATAAATTCTATATAATGTTGATTTCACATATATGTATTTTATATATATGCATGGTTATAATGGATATGGCATAAAAATTTATTTATTACAAAAATTGTTTTTTGTTCTATGGATCAAGCATCGTCGTTGTTTTCTTCAGCGTCTTTGATTAATCGTCTGATCTGAAAGTATCGCTTGCGAAGTTTTTGTCTCGTTTGCTGTTTTAAATTCGATTTCGTATTGCATTTTATATATTATATACTATATTTAGTACATTTAAAAAAGAAAAGGGATTAGTATAATTTTCTGCATCTATGCATTTCGTTTTACACATTTTACATTCCTACATACATATACACACACATAAGTAGTTAAGTACACGAAGGTAATGCTCGCGACGGTTTCGGTGACGGTGAAGCATATCTAACAGGCGGAACCAATATTGTCAAATTGGCTGAACAGTTTGAACTAATATATTCTCGTTTAATAATATTACACGGAATAATTAAAGTACAGTTTTGTTACATAAGCATCTGCGTCCCGTTATTATTTTGAAACGATACGATAATACGTATATCTAACAGGCGGACTCAATTATGTCAAATCGGCTTAACAGTTTGATCAAATAAATTTTCGTTTAATAAAAATACACGGAATTATTAAAAATTAATTTTGTTACATAAGAAGCTGCTTCCCGTTATCATTTTGAAACGATACATAACGATACGATAACGAGGTATTGGAAAGCTTAAATTGTATGATGATTTTGGAGTTTTTGAAAGATAGTATTTGAACCAAGACAAAAAGTTTTGTTTTACATGATATTTTAGAAAAGGAAATTGTCTATTAGAATATTTAAATATTTTTGAAAAGCACACATAAATGGATTTTTGTCGATTTTTCAACTTTCTCGTTACCGATTATGCAAATTCAGAAATGTATGGGTGACGTGTTTAATCCATATTTGAGAATGTACACAAAACGGGAGAAAGTTTTCTTTTACATGATATCTTATGGAATGAAATTACCTATTAGAATATACAAATATTTTTGAGATGCACACATAAATGGATTTTTGGCGATTATTAAACTTTCCCGTTACCGATGAAGCAAATTCAGAAATGTATGGGTGACGCGTTCAATCCAATATTTGGAAATGTGCACAAAACGAGAGAAAGTTCTGTTTTATATGCTATTTTGGGGAATAAAATTTTTTATTAGAAAATACAAGTATTTTGAGATGCACACATAAATGGATTTTTGGCGATTTTTTAACTTTATCGTTACCGATGAAGCAAATTTGGAAATGTATGGGTGACGCGGTCAATCCAATATTTGGGAGTGTGCACGAAACGGGAGAAAATTTTGTTTTATATGGTATTTTAGGGGATAAAATTTTCTATTAGAATATACAATTATTTTTGAGATGCACACATAAATGGATTTTTGACGATTTTTTAACTTTCTCGTTACCGTTGATATATTAATATATAACGAAGTTTTTTTTATTGTTTTAATAACAAATAAGGAACAATAATAAATATTTTTTCATTACATTAAACCTTTAAATATTTTTTATTTAACCGGTTTTTTCATAATCTGCCTTTTACATATGCTTCACCGTTGCTGAGTTAAAACCGTCGCGAACATTACCTTCGTGATAGATTTAACGGGGAAATTTGATTCTTAATTAGCGAGATACGGTCAGGACTTTATTATCGCTTGCTTGTATTAAGCATAATTTCCTAGTAATAATACGTAATAATAGAAAATAATTTTTAAAGTTAAATAATTTAAATAATTTCGGTTATAAATACTGCCAAAAAAAAAGAAGAGTCGCCTATTCTAAGGTGACCTCGTGTCACCGGGAAATGTCGCCTTCCCAGAAAAAAAGTACCTCCAAAAGAGCAAGAGTCTCTTCACTTGAACCAACATATGAAGAACAAACATTTCAGGTAAGTCCAGTCTTCTATGTAATCGAAGCAGAAAAAGACAACGACATAACTGAACTTACTTGTTTCCGTGTTCAAAAAGAGATTTATGCACAAATAGGAGACGTAGATAATATAAAAATTGGAAGAAATAAAATAATAGTAAGAGTTAAAAACGCAAAACTAGGAGAAAAAATACAGACAATATCAAAAATTAGCACCATAAATGTAAAATGTTCACCTCATAGGTCTTCAAATTTTTCAAAGGGGGTAATCAAAACAGCATCACTAAAATCTGTTTTGAACAGGAAATAAAAGAAGAGCTAAAAAATCAAGGAGTAGTAGATGTTAAAAGCATCACCATTAAAAAAATGAACAACTTATTAAAACCAACACTTATATCCTAACCTTTCAAACACATGAAATCCCAAAACCTATGGTAATTGGCTATGAGAAAGTAGAAGTGAGAGAGTATATTCCAAATCCGATGAGGTGTACCAAATGCAAAATATATGGAAACCATAAAAATATATGTAGCAATAAAAGAGTTGTCTGTAGTAACTGTGGTGAATTAGAACACTCTCATACTAGAGAAAAGCCATGTAATAATAATACAAATTGTTATCACTGTAGAGAAAAGCACACGACCTATGGCAAATCATGCCGAGTATACTAAGAGCAAAAAGAAATAATAAGAATCAAGATCATGAATAAAATCACCATCCCGGAAGCAAAACAAATATAAAAAATACAACTCAGCAAAAAACATATGCAACCATAACCAAAAATTGTCCTCAGAAGGCTGACAAAAACACATCTTGCAATTTGATCCCGGCAGAGCCACTCAAGGTTTATAAAAAGAATGAAGATAAAGACTCAACTAATAAAAATAATTATGACAACAAGCACAAATATCAAAATAAAACATGCTACCAACAAACAATAAGCAGCAACTAAGACGATAATGATGTTTTCCCCCAACGGACGAAACAGAAGAAGCATGCCATAACCTAACTAAAATACTCAATCATACTTATAACAACAAACATGGATAAAAACTCCAAAGCAAAAAATAATAACAACAACAATCATGTGTCGCCCAACATAGACTCCTTGTGGCAGACCTGGTTGTCGAACCGTCAAAACATAAGTCTAAACAAATGCCTCGGAGAATCAAAATGTGGAAGCTGAAAAGCAATGTTCATCGAGAAGAATTTCAACAGATTGTCGCCACACAGTTAGACCACCAATCGCAAGCCAGTACAGATTGGAGTACATACAAAACCGTTTTGATAAACGCTGCAACTACAGTTTGTGGGAAAACTGGTACAAAACGTCAGCATGAACGGGACACTTGGTGGTGGAATGACAGTGTACAAAATGCAATAGCTGAAAAGAAAGTTACATACAAGCAATGGCAAATGGTTGATGACCAAAAAATTTTCCGTGAGAAGAACAACTATGCAAGACGTCAAGTTGCACTGGCTCGGACAGATCAGTGCAGAGAGTGGCTCACTAAAAGCAAAGGTGAACAAATGAAATCTCTGTATCGTATAGCAAAACAAGCAAAGCGTACGAAAAAAGACATAATTGGTGCCTCATGTATTAAAAATGACAAAAATGAGATGGTTCTTGAACAAGATGAGATCAAGCTACAGTGGAGAGAATACTTCAACCGTCTGTTAAACGAAACAAATCCCATAAATGTTAACTTTGACGCTCCACCCATCGAAGGTCCGATTCCAGACATCATTGTAGAGGAGCTTACAGAAGCTCTGAAAGCTATGGAGGATGGAAAGGCAGCAGGGCCCTCTGGACTCACAAATGACATTATCAAAGCATCTGGTACTGCAGGTATCCAAACGTTACTACAACTTTGCCGTGAAATTGGGAGAAATTGCTCAATGCCGACTGAATAGAACTATAGCATGACAGTCCCGCTATACAAAGGCAAAGTTGATCCATTGAACTGTTCGTCATATCGGGGTATACATCTGTTAGAACACTCCCTGAAAAGTGTCGAGAAAATCATTGAGAGAAGATTAACGTCGTGCATCACAATCGGTAATTATCAATTTGGTTTCCTAGCGGGGAAATCAACAGTTGATGCAATTCACATCTATCGGCAACTGCAATAGAAGTACCTCGCAAAGCATCAACAACTATCACACATTTTTGTAGACCTTGATCGAGTTTCCCGTGAAGCAATCAGGTGGAGTCTACGTCGACAACTCATTCCAGAATATCTTGTATACGAATACTAAGACTCTTGTCAGCAAAACGGTTGGAAACACAGATGCATTTGATATCGGCGTTGGAGTTCACCAAGGCTCGACTCTCAGTCCATTGTTATTTATAACTGGGATGGAAGAAATTACAATACCAATACGCACTGGTGACATTTGGAATCTAATATATGCTGATCTGCAAGAGAAGTTATGGCACTGTTTCCACTTCTTTTGACATGACCGAAACACCGCAGAAGGTGTTGCCGGCGTTCGTCCTTTATATCATCTAAACCAGCACAACGCAGAATTTCGGTAGATTTAACATGCCCTTCATCTCTGGACTAGTCAAAAAATAGCTGGACAAAAATTTTTTACCTGGGTAATTTCATATTGAAATAAATAATTTATCTTTTAAGTTACAGAACCAATCAAAATTAAACCAGGTTTTACAAATTTTATAATTGATAAAATAAAAAATGTGAAGATGTGTGATGTTATAATTAATAAGATGTTTGAAGATTGGAACACCAGACTCACCGATCATGGATTCAAAGTCAACATCAGCAAAACCAAAGCAATGAACACTGGTGAACCCATCCAATCCACAGCTACTGGACGATGGCCCTGTTCAGTTTGTAAAGCTNGGTGTAGGTAACAATTCAATCAAGTGTCAGCAGTGTAACCAGTGGTGTCACAAACGTTGTTCAAAAATAATTGGTACTTTATCTAAAGTGTCCTATTTTGTTTGTCCTGCTTGCATCAATCCACAACAACAAATCGAAATA